AATCTTGAAACAGCAAAAAGAAGTACATCACTTAGAAAGTGGCACAGGTCATTTTTTTGCATCAATTGTCCCAAGATCTCATTTAGTGGAAAAAATGAAAAAAATTATCCTCCCACATTTCTCTCAGCCTTTCTCTTCTGAGTTTCCCTTGGTCTCACTAGGTTGCAGCAACCATCAGGTTTATTGTTTCACAGGGACATTTCTTAGGCATGTGTTCTCCTTCTTACCATGTCACATTTGCATTGAGGAGTAATGCAGATACCCTAGGACCACTGCTAACACTCCAACTACACTTTTTCCCCAGAGCTCCAACCTTTTAGATACTCTGATTTCACAACTCAAGTCTTCAGGAGCATGCAATACAGGCTTCACAAGGCTTCTCAAAAAAAAAAAAAAACCCAACAACAACAAAAAAAACAAAAACAAACAAAAAAAACAAACCCCCAAGCTTAATACACATTTAGAACTAAAAGAAACAATAGGTGTTCATACATGATTTTATGTCTTGATTTTCTCACTATTTCTGCATGTTTCGCAGGGTTTAAATAAGAGCCCTTTCAAATCCTATCCAAGAAACCCATATCTTCCTGCATATGACTTCTCTTTTCAGTCATGAAGTCTCTGGGTTTGGGTCCATTCTTCCTAAGACTTTAGTTTCTCTCTCCTTCTCCTGTCCCTGTAGACTCCAACTTTGCTCTAGTCAATAGTAATTTATTTTCACCATTCCCTTGAACAATCCTAACCAGTTTCACCAGGTGTTTTTTCTTCTACAATTGTTTTACTTACCTGTCTCCTGTCTTTATACCAGGGCAGCAGCTATCTATGTGTGCTCCACTTGAATATATGGCCGTCTACTTTTAACAGCCCTCACAATGACCCTGGCAGGGTCTAGTAATGCATATTTTCACAACTAGTGGAGACGTTATATATTTTCACACATAAGAGTTCACATGCTGACACCAAGACACCTCTTGGCCAAACCAAATACCACCGCACAAGGCTGAGAAGCCAGGGGTGGATTTCCAGTACGTCAAGATCACAGGCAGAGCCACTTGCACGTAAGCTCATCTCCTAGGTATGCTTCTGTAGGTACAGGTGAGGCAGGACAGCCGGTGTAGCAGGATACATGTCCTCCTGGCGGGCTCCTTTGAGCCAGGGGTCCTGCCAGGGTGCACAGCCTGGGCAGGGGTGCCCTGGCACCACTCCAGCCCAGGACACCCAGCACCACCAGCAGCCAAGAGGATGCCACCAGGCACGGGTGCTTGAGGCCCGTGTTGAGGAGGCACTGGGTGATGGCCAGCTGAGTAAACTGGCAGGCCAGCGTCTGGGACAACACAAGGCTTGTGCATGCTGTCACCACCCAGGAGTCACAGGCGAGCCACTGCTGGGCGGCAGCCTGCCCCAGCACGCCGCATAGTCCCACCCTTAAAAAGTGCTGAGGATCCATGCCTGCATCCCCCGGTCTTCACAATACTGTCATTTAATTCACAGGTCTATTTTTTGTGTTTTTCCCAGTTTGGGTCCCAGAAAGCTCTCCCCTGTGTCTCTCTAGCCTTCTTCTCTCCCCCCCGCTGCACGAGTCTGACCCAGCAGGTTGGTTCTCACCCTCTGCCCGCTCCCCCAGCACTGGGTCTCCCTCCTCGGTTCCTGGGCCACTCACCCACCCACCCCTGCCGCTGGTTTGCTCTCCTCTCCCTTGTGCTGTTTGCCAACATCTCCATCTCCCGGACGCAGCGCACACGGCATGTAACTAAACATCTTTTTTTTTTTTCCTGCCTCCAAATGTTATCGACATCTTCTGGTTGATCCATGGGCTTCAGGGAACTTCAGGCTGTGAACTGAGGGCTTTTGGACAGGAGGCAGGACCGGTGGATTAAGCTTTTAAGGGGTCTTCACAAGGCAGCTGAAATAGCAGAACCAGCATTTCTTTTAATAGGTTTGTGCTTGCCATGCAGAGGTCCCCACTTGCACTGGGAACAATTTGCAAATCTCTAAATAAAAAAAAATAATCTTTGATTTCTGACCAATAAAATTCTGTGTCCTGGTTTCAGCTGGGACAGAGTTAATTGTCTTCCTAGTAGCTGGTAAGGTGCTATGTTTTGAGTTCAGTATGCGAAGAATGTCGATAACACTGATGTTTCCAGTTGTTGCTAAGTAGTGTTCAGTCTGAAGTCAAGGATTTTTCAGCTTCTCATGCCCAGCCAGCAAGAAAGCTGGAGGGGCACAAGAAGTTGGCACAGGACACAGCCAGGGCGGCTGACCCAAACTGGCCAACAGGGTATTCCATACCATGGGACGTCCCATCTAGTGTATGAACTAGGGGGATGGGGGGAATCGGCACTCGGGGACTAACTGGGTGTCAATCAGCAGGCGGTGAGCGATTGCACTGCACATCATTTGTACATTCCAATCCTTCTATTATTACTGTTGTCATTTTATTAGTGTTATCACTATCATTATTAGTTTCTTCTTTTCTGTTCTATTAAACCATTCTTATCTCAACCCATGAGCTTTATTTCTTTTCCTGATTTTCTCCCCCATCCCACTGGGGCGGGGAGGGGGGGGTGGATGGCTGCATGGTGCTTAGTCGCTGGCTGGGGTTAAACCACGACATTCTGAAATTTTCATTTGCCAGCAGCCATACTTCTCTGTGCTCCAACACCTCCATCTCTTCCCAGTTAAAAGTCTACCCAAGCTCATTACTTCAAAGAAATCCCAACATGCAGCTGGCCATTGCTGAGACTCATTCAACACATGATGCTAGCAGAAGGGGACTTGAAATAGGCAAGGCCGGTATTTACAGTCCCCTTTCTTCTCACCTGTCCAGTCTCTCCTCTCTGAGACACTTGATCCATATCCCCTTCCCTGTGCCATTCCTCCCCCACTCCACCTCCCTTCAGATCAGTTGATTTCTGATTTCTTTGTCCTGCCTCAGTGCTGAACTAAGGACCAAAATCATGTGTTGGGATGTCCCTAAACCAGGGAGTTTGATACATGGCTAGAAGAAAGCTGCTAGCTCACGATATGGGCATTTCCAAACTTCTGCCTCAATGTTCCCATTAGTTTCAGCTGGACATTTTAGTCCCCCATGCTCTTCTGTAGTATCTCCATGAACGGTTACACACTTTGCATGTCATCCAGGATGTTGCTCCACTTTACCTCTGAGCGAAGCAATCCCTGTGCAGAGACCTTACTGGTACACTGGAGGTGTGGTGAAACCAGTTGGGTGTCAGGCACTTCACTGATAAATACTAAAACTCACCACTGTGGAAGATTTCCCAGCTTCGTGACCTTTACCAGAAAATCTTGAGCAACCTACCGCATGCATGAAGAACCAGCCATATAATGGCTTCACAAGCAAGATTAGGGTTGGGTAGAAGCATGGTGATGTTGATGCCGTCTCCAAGAAGTGGGGGCACGAACAGAGGGAGGCTGACTGTAAACACTGCCACAGGCGGGAGCACCAAGTGTTGGTTATTCAAAGCAATGAAAGCTCTCAGGCAACTCACAAGGCACGCTCCAAAGTTTCTGGCTCATTCACCGAATCACCGGGCTGCTGGTCTTAAACAAAGAATCTGATCCCAACAATCTGTGTAATTAGAAAATCATCTAGGAAACTAGGACCACACTATGCTTTTGTAGTGCAAAGAAAAAAGAAAAGATACACGGTCAATGACGGGCAGCAATGGTCCTGAGGGAAAGCAAAAGACTGAATGTAGTTTTGGTGGAAGTACCTGGATGCTTGGAGCCATCAGCAGGGAAATCCTCTCCTGCTGCTTGATCCTGAGAGTGGTCAGGACAAAAAGGCTTTGCACATAGTAATACAATACAAAATCGACAGGCTTGCATTAAAAAAAAAAAAAGAAAAAAAATTACAATTCCACAATTCACCTCCCCTTCCAATGGAAAGAGGCTGCAATGCTTTACCCGTCGAGCAGCTTCTTCAGACGGAAAGGGGTGATGTAACACACTGCAGCCAACTCCTGCTACCGGTTCCACCCGACTGGAACTGCCAGCACAGTGTCCTGCAAAAAATGAGTTACTGGTCTATACCATTTTATTAGCGAGGACGGCTGCAGCACACATCTGGTATCAGCCGGCGCGATACAGCCCGGCTTCCAGGGCACCGGGAACACCGAAACCCGCAGAGCCCTGGCACAGCCTTACCCGACAGCACCGCGTACAAATTACCGTAAGGCAGGCTGCGTACGTCATGGGCGAGTTTTAAGGACAAACATGCTTCCTTCACAGCACAGCAACAGTAAAGGAGAAAACTCGAGTAAGGGCTGGGAGAGCAAGTCACAGGAAACGCGCGGCACATCCCTCTGTAGCACACATGCGGCGTGTGTTATCATTTTAAGGCTCCATTTCACCCGCGGGCCGTTCGCCCGTGCCCCCTCGGCTCCCCCCCCCCCCCCCGGCGCCACGCTGCGGGTCACAGCGCCACGTACCGACACCGCGGCTCCCGAGAGCGGGCGGGAGCGGGGGGGGCGGGGTGGGACGGGCACACGGGGCCAGGGCTCGCCGGAACAAAATCACCGGTTTTCTTTCCGCATCGGACACCCGAGGCAGGCGGACCCAGAGGGGACAGGCCCCATCCGCCGACCCCCGCCGGAGACCGACCGGCAGGCCCCGCGGCCGGCAGCCCGCTAGGGGCGGAGGCCGCCG